TCATAAATGCCAGTACTTATGTTATACTTATAACTGCCTGGATATGAGTGCCACACAGTAGAACTATAATTATATGTATAATAATAACCAGCTCTTTCTCTGACTGAATATATTACATTTTGACATTTTAAGGCCTCTTTTACTGCATTTGAAAGACTTTTGAGAATGTGAATTTCTTTAATAAATAATATAGGTATTATATACTTGGCAGCTAATTATACATTTCAAGCTCAGACCTTCTGATTGTAAAATGTGGTTCCATTGTACTCAGCAGGTTCCTACACGCCAATACAGGTTCCCTTTTTTCATTTGCTCGAATTACATTTCTGATGATGTGTTTTATGTCTTCTTTTAGAAAACGTAAAACACATCAAACTAATGATGTGGATAAACTGTTTTTTTTCCTAAAAGTTTAAATCTGTCCCTTGCCTCTAAACAGGCATTTGTATGAGCTGATTGCTAATTGTTTTCCTCAACTAGCTGAAAGTAGAAGCCTGCACAGCTGCTGGGCTGCTTTTGGCAAAGCTTTAACTGATATTAAACCGTCAGTGCCTCGCAGTAATGTTGATGTTGACTTTGGGTTATTGTTGTACCAAAACAGTTGTACAGCTGGATGTGCTGTATTTAAAAACACTTTGAATACAAAATGAAGTCACTAAGGAGAGTTGTTGTGGACTGCGATGACAGAAGGTGCCTGTGGCCATCTCATGCAGTGATGCAGTGTGATATGGTATTCTGTGGGGTTGGATTGTGCTTCTTTTTGGTGGAGTTGGACTCTGCAGAGAGGATTATTGAAGCTGTGCTGCAGCAGGCCTTTCATGCTTCTGCTCAGGCTCCAGAGGACTAACAACAAGTCAGACACTGTCAGATTCAGGGTAGCGAGGCCAAGGGCAGATGCTTTGAAGTGGGCTATGAGATTCTCATCTAGAGGGATCAGATGGAGGGTGAAAAGAAGACAGAGAGAGGTGTAAAGCTCCAGCTAAACAGGCGAGCTGGGCAGGCTTCAGAAGCTGTAGAGGTGGGTTTCACTGTCAGAAGCCAAAGTCGACATGCTATAGGCTTAACAAAAAGAACTGTGAAATTCATGTGGGTGCAACTTGTGATGTAAAAAAAGTATGATTTGAGAATAATTGGAGCGAAAAGAAAGGCCACAAAGCCTTAAGTCTCTAATGACTCATATTCGCACATTAAAATGACCAGCTGGGAGATATTTGATACCTACATACATTATAAACAATATTTCCAGCAATTTAAAACCTGGAGAAAACTGTCATTTTAATCAAGGTATTGGTGCGTATGTTTTAGTGGCCTTTAATTACGACGTAGCCCCTTTGCACATGTGCCAGCATTGTGGTTTTTGCTGCCAGAAGCTATCATAAAATTCACATTCTTACCGTTTATCCTCTTTTTATTGTATAACACGTACACAGCACAAACAAAACTGTTACATTTAGATTCAGTATTTTTACAAACCCTAGGTATCAGAGCGGGAACTGCATTATTCAGTGTTTTTATTAAAAGACCCTTCTTAGAAAAATGAACATATTACAGGTTTAAAATACAGATAAAATAGAAGTAGCAAAATTCTGAATTTTTAGTTGCAATTTTGGAGATACTTGAGAAATATGAATCATCTGCAATCAAATAATTCTTAGAAAAGAATCTCTGTTTGCATAGCAGAGGTAAGAATGAGGCTTTCATTTGTGGTGATTTTTCCTCCACATCATTTTGATTAACATTCCTGAAATCAGGGCAGTCATTACAGGATGTCTACATTTCATTAATCAGCCTGAAATATTTCATTAATGCATCAACCCCACGTTTACCTCATTATTCATGTTCATATTTTGCAAACGCTCCTGACCCTAGCAATGTCAGCAACACCACCAGAAAATCTTGTAAGGATTTGTTCAATGATGAGCAGAAAGGATTTGAATTGTGTGGTGCTAATGGACGACAAGGAAAGAAACCCAAGAATGTTGAGAAACTGGACAATTTAAGTATGCTTACATGATTTTACTCTAGCATGCATAATTTCTCATTACAACTTAATAACCAGAGACATTTTCCCTTCTGAGAACATAAACAGTCCATTTTACAAGCACATGTTCCAGATTATTTTCTAGGTGCTTACCCAGCACAATATGCGCAAACGGGCCAACTCTTCCTTGTTCAAACACACACTAAAACATGCATGCTTATGAGAAAATTCTTTGCTAACCTTCATAAGCTTTTAACCCATATCTGCCTTTGCCTTATGTCTTACACTAATTCCAGCGTTATCACTAGAAATAAATCTTTTAACGAAGGGGTTTGAGGAAATAGTCCAGGCTTCAAATCCTCCAGAGACATGTGGACCTCACACGATAGTAAAAACAGATGTGTAGCTCAATTTCCATTAAACTTATGAGATAGTATCAGTCAATCAATCATATACACACACACACACACACACACACACACACACACACACACACACACACACACACACACACACACACACACACACACACACACACACACACACACACACACACACACACACACACACACACACACACACACACACACACACACACACACACTGTACGCACAATCGTGATGGTCTCACTTTCTTCCTGCCTGGCGTAGCCTCAACCATGTTTTTGCGTCCCATGAGGAATGCCTTTTATCATGTGACACGGTGGTGTTGGGGGTTGGTGGTGGGGGGGGATGGTCTTCAGACAGCTGTTTCCCATCAGGACTCAGTCAACTGCAGTCATCCAGTTGCAGCCCTGCCCAGAGCATCAGAGGGGCAGAGCAGCGAGCAGAGTGGAGCTCAAAGAAGTGCGGGGGCCACAATGCCTCCAATTAGAAGGTCATCCCAATTTGTTCTCCCATATCCTCGGTGCCCATCAGGCGTCTCAGGCCTGCTTGTCAGGCGTTATGTACAAATCCGTAGCCAGAGGTGAAAGAGTTTGCCGCCATCTGGGAGCCATTATGCCTTTTCCTCATTGTTTCCTGTCTTTTCACCCCAACCCAGCTCGACTCAGTTCTGCTCTCTCTCTGTGTTGGCTAAACTCCCTTGGCTTGTTCAGGTTCTAAGCCCCCCGCTGTAATTTAAGACTGGGAATGCTTAACAGCAGTCACTCATGCACAGGCCAGGCATCTATGTTTGCACATGTTGTTCACCACGTAGGGAGCAGAATTTTTCTCAGTTGTATAGAACAAACAATAGTTTAATTGATCATGTACCCCTTTCTTTTTTCTTTCTGACAAACGTCTCATATTACATGTTAGAACTCTATTAGATAGTTATTTTACAACACGTGAAGACAAACAGAGTAGTAGACATTACATAATAAAACCAACTAACTGGCCATGGAAAATATGCACCATCAAGTCAGTCATTTTGATTCAGAGTCAATCGAGCCAAGACCCAGCGACGTTGATGAAGACCAGAAACATAGTCTAGAAAACTGGAACCCAAGCCATTAGCACGATGCAATACAATACAATACAGTGCAGAACAGTCCAATATATTTTGTTGTCATCTATCTATCCTAAGATGTTCAATACATGGTCCCCATATCGTAGAAATTCAAGATAGGCATTGGACAGAGTATACCAGGTTTTTTTAAGGTATAGATTGTAGAGTCTAGTATAGTCTGTGAAGCCAAAACCAAATAATGCAGATGAAGGCCTAAAACAAACTCTAGAAAGGTGAAATCCTAGTAGATAGCACAATGCAGTACAGTACTAAACAGTCCAATACACTTTGTTGTAATTGTAATTTGTTCAATACATAGACCCCAGATCTTTAGAGACTTCAAATACACTTGGAATGAATAAACCAGATTTCTTAAAGGTACAGACATGTCATATACTGTAACCCTTTTTTACATTCCCACCCCTTCAGGAACACCCTTTTTGCTGTGGATTTGTTTTGACACATTTACATCTTTAGAATCCCTTGCCTCTCATCAGAAACGTGCTTCTCCTAATGCTGTTTACGGCTTGAGGCTTTGCAGTAGAGACCTTTCTATCCAGCCCATGGTGGAGACAGGAATGAGCTGCCTGTGGCCACCAGAAATCTCACTCTTCTGTTTTGCTTCATGGAGTGGATGCGGGTTTGCTTTGTCTCCAGTTCGGCTTCAAGCTGGCTGGCGAGCTCTGTTTCTGTGCGCAGGCTACTCGTTGAGGAAAGATGATAAATTGCTGTGGTAGCTTTTCCGCTGCCTGCTGGTGGAGCCGTCTGGATCTCACCTTTCAGCGTTGCTCTGCAGCAGTGTATCTTCTTGTTTTACTGTCAGCCATTTAGACAGCTTTCTCAGCAGCTTGTCCCAATAGACTTCGTCCCTGTTTGAGTTAGGAAATAATCCCATGATGACTCCTTGTGATATTATATACAATGCATCATGATATCTTACATTATATCTGTATACTGTATATATAACTCATCAAATGGAAGGTCTTTTTGGCAGGAATTGGTATTGTGCCTTAAAAAATAATATGATAGACAGAGCTAGCAAACAGCTCTTTATTCGGCTGCCTTCAAATGGAACTCGTAAGGTCATATTTTCGACATAGGAAGTCAAGTACGCAATATGCTGCTGTTTAATGGTTAAAGTCACCGTTGCTAGGTGACTGACAATATGCCCTTGTTCCCATTACAAAAGTAGGGATCATTTTGTGTTTTGTGCATTTCATTTTCATTCCAGGAACTAAAATAGACTAGGTGACAGAGAAAAATGGAACATAAATAATAAAAAGCAATTCCCTGGGCTCTGACATTGAAAACACAGCATACTGTATGTCACAACTTTGTACCCCAGTGCTTTCGAAAGCTGTGAATACCACACTATCCATCAGTCAAAGAGCTGTTCTTGTTGACACAAAAAATACAACCTTGAAGGCACCAATAATATGACCCAATATTGTAATATTTCATGGTCAAATCATACTCAGGCGTCATTGAATTCCACTCCATTGACTGTTCTGCCTCTCTGTTTGTTTTCCAGTTTTGCGCGATGACTTCAGACAGAACCCGGTGGACGTCATGGTGGCAGTGGGTGAGCCGGCCGTGCTGGAGTGCCAACCCCCCCGAGGGCACCCTGAACCCACCATCTCCTGGAGGAGAGATGGTTCCAACTTAGATGACAGAGATGAACGCATCACAGTAAGAGAAGCGAGTTACTAATGTTACCATTGCCGTAAGATACAATTAATCAAAGGGCGACACACTGCTGGGATGATACTGCTACTATTTGATCTAACTTTTTGGTATTGAATTTATTTGTATCAGTAGAGAACTATAGGTTACTTACGTAACCCCAGTTCTCAGAGTAACATGAAGTGAGATGTCTCACTATGGGATGCGCCTCATCGCGGAGCAAACAGAAGCATCAATCTCATTACGCCAATCCTGATTGGCTGGTGATCTTGACGTCAGCGTCAGGGAATCTACCCCCTATAAGTAGCTTGCGCTACGCCACATGCATCATTCAAAATAAGCACCTCTTCTCGCTTCACCATAGCAAGGAGGGCCGTCTGGTGAGACATCTCACTTCATGTTACTCTGAGAACTGGGGTTACGTAAGTAACCTATAGTTCTCATTCGTCACTCCGTTCGATGTCTCACTATGGGATATTGTAGCTCCCGTATTGCCAGACGAGCTTATCTCGAAAATCACCAAACCCAACCAGAATTTAACAGTTAGAGCTCTAACTCAGCAGGGGGCCCAGCACTGCATGGGCCACACTGGGAGCAGAGACGTCTAATCTGTAAAAGCGGACAAAAGTGAGCGGCGAGGACCAGCTCGCTGCTGCACAAATGTCTTGGATGGAAACACCCTTGAACAAAGCCCAGGATGTAGCAAGACCACGAGTCGAATGAGCACGCAAACCCGAAGGTGCCTGCAGACCCTGACTCGTGTAAGCCAAAGCAATTGCCTCCACAATCCAGTGAGAGTGCTGTTGCTTAGTAACAGGCTTGCCCTTCTGAGGGTTAGCCCAGGACACAAAGAGTTGGTCATTATGACGAAACTCTTTTGATCTGTCCATATAAGTGTGTAAAGCACGGACTGGACATAGCAAATTCGGCTGCTGTTCCCCGGAGGGACACAGCGGCGGAGGAAATGCCTCAATGTCAATGGGGGTACATGAACCAACCACCTTAGGTATAAAGGCAGGGTTGGGCTTCAGGCAGGTGATCCGAGAAATATGCTTCACCTCCCACAACTCCTGACCACGGAGTTTTTCCCGTGTGCGAGTAAAGGTACGGGACACCCTCACTAAAATATTCAAGATGTCCTGGATTACTATTTGTCGTCTCGAAGAGGTGCTAGTTTCAGATTGACCCGGGACGATACGCGTACGGTACCGCCGAAACTCCATTCTGCCGATCGCGTTGTAGGAGCCAGAGACAAAATACTTCCCTGTTCGAACGTCCGAGGAGACAGGTCCAGTTGACACCGGGAATACCCTACACTGTCCCAAACATTACCGGGGTGAGGCTCGGGGTAACTTCGGGGGGGGATCGCCTTCTTGCGACTGTACTTCGGTGCGAAGTGAGTTCTCGTCACGACAATGACCGGGACGTGCGCGGTCGCTCGTCACTGTAAGTACCCGCGATAGACATGTGAGGCGAATACGTGGTCAGCGCGCTCCAT